CAGAGGGTTAGGGTTTTGTTGGTACCCAATTTTTGCTTGGTCCCTTCACCCTACCTTTTTGGTACTAAAAAAACTTGAAACACAACCAAATCAACTTGAGACTTCCAAAACCCAAGAAAACCCTCATTTGACACAACCCACAAGACAAAACGAGAACCTTGATCAAATGTCATCCCCAAACTTGAAAAACTACAACTTATTTACACATCAACTTTCATGACTAAACTGCAAAGATTCACCGTTCATCATACTAGCCCCCTTTTTAACAGCCCCGATCCATGCGATATTCAAACTGGAACTCTAAAATCGAATTCAACATATCCATCACCCCAAGATCACTAATTAATACACATTTTTCTTTGGATTTATACTTCTTACACATGCCTAATAGACAATGCCTATTCTTTCAACTTGACTTGGAATGGAGTGAAGATGAAGAGATCAATGAAGAAATTAGAGGGCTCGGGGAGAAGCCTCAGCAACAGGTTATTATTTTATTATTATTCATGAATAGTAATGACAACTATGATCATTTGTAAGAATATGCATCTTGTTCTATTTAAATAAATGGTACTATACTACTATCTATTTATGCTAGTCTAGTTTAAGAAATCAATTGCTTAGCTTGATAGTAGTCTAATTTTCATCTCTTGCTGTGGCTACCAAAAAAGTGCATTGAGATTTGAGAGAGGTAAGTTTTAAAATATACTCAATTCAGATATCAGAATTGAGTACCATGTTCAGATTTTTTTTTTTAATTCTAAAGCTCAGAGCTTAGAGTTATACCAAACACTCACCCCTTTAGCAATAAAGGTAATGCTGGCAATTCAGAGATTAGAATTCAAAACTAGAGATCAGAAATTAGAGTTATCAAACACCTCTAGAAAGGCATTTACAGGTGGAACTTTTTGAACAAAATAATGTAGTAACTAAGGCTGAGTTTGGAAGAAGTACAAATGCAAATATGTAGAGTGTAAAACCTAATATTTTATATTATTTTGTATGCATTTATATTGTACATATTTGCATTTGTACTGCTTCCAAACTGAGCCTAAATCATTAATTCTTTATCTAATCTGAATTGTTTATAGAGAATCTAATTTAGAGGGTGTACTTAACTACTTATATGAGCTCATTGGTTTTATTGATCTAAAACTTGTGGATCGTAAAGAAACGAAGAAATATGTAAAAGGTTGATACTTATTGCGGATCGGCATACAACAACATTACATTTGTCCTTACATATATTCATACATCTATATTGTTCATGCATGCCCCGAGTAAAGCATATCAATATTTCCTTGTCTCACCCACCACCCTCCACCAAATTCCAATTTCATCCCATAGCCCACCATTAAGGCCTGTAGCTTCCAAAATAAACAAGTACACAACAACCTTAGAATATCTAGAGAAAGCAGTAAACAGAAACTCCAATATCCAAATTATCAAACTGAAACTCCAACAACCTTAGAATAAAAGAAACCCATATTAAGGATTCGTTAGCTCATTCCATAGAAAACACTGGAGAATCATCATCAATCTACAAATAACACAAGTTTGCACATCCATGGAAATCATAGAAGAGAGCAGTGAATATAAACTAAAGAAATAGAAATATTCATCCATATTTAAGGGAAAACAACCATTCCTTCTTACCTTGAGAGAGACAACTGGAGATTCTCTAATTAAGGAAATACGAAAGCTAGAGAGAATCAAATGGTGTCGGAATGCCGGTTTACATCAATGCTTTTGGACTCAGCAAGTAAAGAAATAAAAAATTAGCGGATTATAAAATTTTGCACAATAACAGAAAAAATTAAGATGCTGGAATGCTGGTTGATTGGTTTCAATTTTTTCTGAAATATATCATGCCCTTCCGACATTATATATGTTTTAGCAATTAAGTTCACTGCTTTACCAATAATTACTATTTTCAGCTACAGAAAAAAAAAAGGTTCAGGGGTGAAGCAAGACTTATGATTGTTTGTTGGAAACCTAATTCATATAAATGACTTGGATTGTGTTTTATCGTGATGAGTTATCATTCAGACAAAGGAATTAGTGAAGAGAGAGATAGATCAAAGTCATTTTGATTTTTCGGAATTAGCATTTACACTATTCCAGTACAAAGAGAAGTTTGAAGAAGAGGAGGAGGAAGTAGAAGAAAAACGTGTATTACCTGCGTCGATGCTTCTCAATGGTCACTAGAGGCAGAGTTGCTTTTGTCGATTGAAATGGAGAATGAAGGATGTTTTGATCGACTACTTTTTGTATTTTTGTCAAAATGTATCGGGAAGCCGAAAGCCCAAATAGACCGTAAGCTTCAATTGGAGTTTCTCAAATCTAGAAAAACCAAAAAATCGGTTAATCGAACCGATCGATTTGGTTTTGGTTCGGTGTTTTAAAAAATCGAAGGTACTGATTCAGTTTTGGTTAATCAATATAGAAAACCGATGGCTAATCGAATCGACCGGTATACATATATTTCTATATATTTATGTATATTATATTATATATATTTATAATATATTATTTATTATTTAAAATATAATATTATATATATTTATAATTTTTTATTATATATTTATATAATATATATTTTAAAAATAAAAAAAATCAAAAAACCAATAGTGAATCGACCCGGTCAACCGGTTGGTTTTGATTATCGGTTTTCCAAAAACCAATAGTACCGGTTTGGTTACAAAAAATGGCTCATGAGCCAAATAGAATTTTGTCTTTTTTAGAGTCTTTTATGAGATATTGTCTTTTGGTCTAACGGGCTTTCATGAGCCAAACGGAAAAAGACCATTTTTGGTCTATCAGACTTCTAAAAGCTCATAAGCTCTTTTAAAAATACTTGCCAAACAAGGCCTAGGTATATGGATAGGCGTATATTATCACTTTCAGATCATATTGTATTAGATCCATATTCAATCCAATTATATAGATGATTTAAGGGCTTGTTTGGTTCGTAGGTATAGGGGTATGGAATTGGAATTGGAATGGGCCATTTGGATTACAACGTTTGATTGGGTGGAGTTGGAATCCCATTCCCATTCCTGGTGGAATAATATTCCCCCATATGAGGGAATGGTCATTCCATCCTCCTCCATTGGGAATGATATCTCATTCCAATTGATTCCAAATCACATTCTTGTTCCTGTTTGGACCAAATAGACTATGGGAATAGACTATTTTGATTCCGAATGTGAACCAAACGGACCCCAAGGACGGAGCCAAGTATACTAGTGGGGGGTCCTTAGCCCATTGTTAAAATTATCATTTATATAGCTGGTAAGTGGAATTTTGGTAAAAAATGTAGTAAGTTGGGTCCTCCCTCCCCTCCCAAAAAAAAAAAAAAAAAACGTGAACTGAAATGCCAAGGATCACTCTATAATGCTCCTCCAACTTAAAAAAAAAAAAAAAACTTTTATTTATTTTTTCTTTAAAAAATCTGTAATAAATGGCACAATATGGAAACAAACCACATTAAGAGAAGCTTCAAATAAAAGATTAAAAGCCGAATAAACAGGAAGAAGAACTCTTCACTGAATAATTAAGAGAAAATCAATATAAAAAACTATTATTTAGCTTTTCCTTATCTACTCTTTATATAGATTTACATCCTTATGGATCTTACAAGAAAGTTTCATAATCTATGAAAACACTCCATAATAGAATCGTACTAAAACTCCTCAAAAAGAAAGTCCTAATTGAACAAAAATTTGGAAATCATGATCTAATGCTAACTTGGTAATTTTGAATTAAGATAGATGCTGACTTGGTAAATTTTGAACTAAGATCGAAATTTCATGCTGGCGCTAGCTTGGTAATTTCGAACTAAGAAATTCCGTGTTGGCGCTAAGCCGCTAACTTGGTAATTGATTACTCGGTTGGGTCAGTAACACCATCCCAACTTCTTATGTGTCTTGGAGTAGTACCAACTTGCATAGAACTTATTGGCCTTCTCTTATACTGCATCATCCTTCCCCTATATATACTAAGATGGGCCTTCGAAAACCAACTTTGTAAATGTTTACTCATTTGGTCCAAATCCTGTATTACATCAAATTGACCCAAACCTTCCTGTCTCTTTTCTCTTGAAACTGTATCTCTTCTACTCTTCTACTCCCTATTTCATTTTTCTAGTTTAACTTGGCCCCTCCAAAAGAAAATCCATGGCTCTGCCACTACCTAAATTCTAATTGCCATATACATAGTTGGATGTAGGGGTGTATAATCGATCGGTTCGGCTCGATTCGATTAAAACCGAAAACCTAACCAACTATTCGGTTTGACCATCTCTCCGAATCAAACCGAACCAGACTACAATTTAAAACCGAATCGGTCCTAACTGAATTCGGTTTGGTTCGGTTCAATTTTAATGATTAATAAACAACTATCTATTAATCTTTAGTCTAGGTTTTAATGAACAATTAATGCAACTACAATAATTTAATGAACAGTTGAATGACTAATTATTAAAGCAACTACACTCAATTTTTACAAACAATTAATGAATAATTAATAATTAGTATAGACTTTAATACTCTAGTTGCTTAGAGTCTCTAAGCTATTTAATTAACTATTATATATTAATTAAAAGCTAGAATAGGCCCAACCTCCCAAAGCACAATGGGGAATTGAGAATTGATCATTACCCATTGAAAAAGATAATAATTATTAATTAAGTATAAAGTATTGAATAGAATATTATATATTTAATTAAATACAATCACCAATTCAGTTTTCGGTTTGTTTCAATTGAAAAGATCAACCAAACTGAATTGAAACCAAAAACCAAATTTTTAAAGAAAAAAAACCAAACCAAACCGATATCCAAATTAACCGAACCGAACTAACTTATTCAGTTTGGTTTGGTTCGATTTTTGGTTTATCAACCAAATTTGAACACCCCTACCCTACAGAATATTAGTATTGACTAAAAAAGAGGGAACAAGACAAAGATAATGTAATATATAGATTTTTATTGGGGTTAATTTTGCTAAGAAGATTAATCCATTACTTTGTGTTTCTTAAACTTGCACAAGCTGTTGAATATTGGTTGGAAAGCAGGGGGAAGGATGTTCAAAGCAACGGGTGGAGATGAGTGAATATGCAGCTTGAGTGGGGTGAAAAGCATCCCAGAAGAAGTGCTGGTCTGGATTAGGACACGACGATAAGCTCGGTATGCATGGCCAAGTTCCATCAATCCCCGCAATGCAACATGGGTTCGTTCCATCTGTTAGCCCTGAAGAAAATTAATGCATTAATTATGGATTCATTAACTCAACTTATTTTCTTAGATTGTATGTTGAAGTAGGGTTAAAAATATTTGATCTAAAATCTTAGAAGAAGAAGAAGTAGTAGTAGTGGTGGAATATGTCTGAATTTTACCATATTTCGAAGGATTTGTGATTGCATCGTATGCAAGCTTGTTGATTTGTGCCAATACAAAGGTGGCGCCTTGGAGAGAAGTTGTCAATCCCTTTAGCATTTCAGAAAGCTCGCTATTGAAGTATGATACCAACTGGTTGAATTCTTCAACGCAGGGTCCCCTGGGCTTTAGTTTTCTTGTAAATATTGGCATGCACCCGATCGGCCCAATTTCGAACATCACAATCCTTCTGGCCCCCGATTCGTATAGCCTCTGTGCCATATTTATCCATTCATAGGCCAAGATATTAAAAGCAAACAAAAGATTATGATTATTTTTGTTATGAGGATGATGATGATGATGAATAGGGCTGTTCATGGGTCGGGTTGGGTCGGTTTATTGGCATTTTTTCAACCGGCCCGACTTTGTCGGTTTATCTAGAAATGAAATCGAAACCGGCTTAGTACTAAGTAAAACCGATTTGGTCGGTTTGAATCGGTTTGGGTTGGTTTGGATCGGTTTTGTGAATGATTCATTCGATGTGAACGGTAAAGGATTAAAGTCTAAGAAAGCAAAGGTTGGATGCCTGAAAATTAAAAATGATTTGATGGATTAAAACTGATACTTTATATATAAAAAATTTTATATATAATATGTATATTTCTGAAATAAAGCTGAAATATATATAATATCTAAGTCAGTTCAGGTCGGTTCGTTTCAGTTTTCATGTGTGAAAACCAAAATCGAACCAAACCAAACCATCGGTTTATGTTTTTTTGTAACCCGAAACTGATTGGTGATGAAGAAAAACCGGCCAACTCGGGTTGGATTGGACCGGATTGGTCGGTTTGGGTCTTGTTATGAACAGCCCTAATGATGACAACGTTCTTTGAAGGGAAGTCTTAAGACTCTTCTTCATTGACCAATAAAAGACATTTGGACATGGGTCCATTATTAGTCCAACCATTGGTTTAGCTAATTTAGTCCATAACCCTGATGATACTAAAATTAACATCAAGGGGGCACTCTTTTTTTTTTTTGGGATTTTGAGAGAGGGGAAAGTTGGTCAATAGAATTTTGGTTCTTACAGACTAAGAAATTCATGTTCTTTTTTTCAGATTTATCTGGGGATCATAAAAAATTTATTTTCCTGGATATCACTTATCCAATAGATAAATAACTCTTTTACATGAGAAAAAGTTATGAACACTTAGGTGGAACAAAATACCCCTTTTAATGATCCATTTTTATGATTAAAATGATCATTATCTTATTTATCTAAAAAATAAAAGAATATAGATAACTGCATTTACTTGATACTTAAGGAAGTGTATTTTACCTGAGTAAGAATAATTTACGAAAAAGTGAATGGGGCTAAGTGAAAACGTTTACTATACTTCATCCTACATATATATACAAATATCAGTGAGGTTTTAAAATAATAGTACATAAAGGGACTAGTTGTGGTATCTCTGTGGGACTTTACAATATAACAAATTATTAAAACTCATTTTCTATTAAATTTCTTAATCATTAGTTAATTATTTCAATAAATATATCAGAGCCGGTCAAGTAGATCAAACCCTTTTGGGTTTAAAAAACCTGTCCGGTTATGGTGTGTTTTTTTTTTTTTTCTGATTTTTAGAATTTTGAAAACAAGGTTTCTCAAACCCATTAAAGGGACTAGTTGTGGTATCTCTGTGGGACTTTCTACCTTTTGTCATATGGTGCTAAGGACACCAATTGCTAGGTCCGATTCAGTTATTTTCTGCTTAGCTAAGGTAAAATTTTCAAGCTAAAATCTTGAACATTATTCTCATTCCTTGTTTATAATGAAAACATATTAATGCAGATTTTAAGGACTACCAATTTGTAAATGGGAATCAGATATTTTTTTTTGTCAGCTACCAAAGAAAGAGAAATGCTACTGAACAAGGACTTTGTACAATTATTGTTTTTTCCTCAATCCGTTCAAGCAGAAAAAGGTGAGGTTCATAGAAAGATGTGACAAATTTGTTTGTTTAATAGTCATGGTTTAGCTTTTTATGGGTTTCACCATGTGTATGGCGCGTAGAAAATAAGAGTCGCATAGTCATTGTTTACTTAATTACTAACTCATCGTTCATCCCCTAAAATATATATACCCTTCTCAAGGCCCACAAATACGGAGAAAAAGATTAGAAGATAGAAATCTTAGATGCTGTGAACTATTTGTAGCTCAGAAGGAGTCCTGATTAATTTCTCCCACTCCCCCTCCTCTTACGGGGCTCATTCAAAGGAAAACTTTTGGTTTAATGATCTCTTCTATGCGTAAATTTTGGTTTAATATAGTGGGAGTAAATCCCTTATTCAAAGTCAAAACTTTGAAGAATTAATAACTTAATATTAATTGTCAAGTTACCAATACAGGGGTGAGATATATTGTTCATGTGAACTGTTGAATTGAACATGTAGCAAACTCAGTGTGGGTCCCTTCATCTTATGGATGGTTTGGATTGGCCACCATACCCACTGCAGGCAGTCCTTGTACATGGTAGAAATAGGTGGGGTCATGCAGGAAATTAAATCTCTTTTTTAGCTGATTATTTATATATATATATATATATATTCCGCATTAATTACTTTCTTTTTTGTACTATATATATATATATTTGTATTTGATTATTTATATATTTTTATACTATGTATATTAAAATATGCCCAAGAACTTAAAAACTGAGAATTGCATGTCTACCTTGGCCAATTATTTACCATGGAAAATTGGAAATAGGACTGGAGGGCTTATATAGAAGTTAGAGCTACTGACTGTTAATTAATTACTGGAAGCAGATGAAAGAAATGTTCATTTTAATTAGCTATGGCCATGCCAGTAGCCTAGGTTACTAATTAATCTTAAGTAATTAACCATGGATATGGGTGACGTGGACTTGGTCTCTATAGGCAAATTGCAGCCGTTGAATTTACTAGAGGTGAATAATATATAATTAAGTACTAGCTAGAGAGTGGATGAAAGTTTACCTTAAAACACCCAGAAAGTCTGTCGGTGAGGTGCTGAGCAAATGCCTGAGGGGAGTAGATTCTACTAATATTACAAAGATCATGCTCAAGGTAGTTGATGATGTAGTCATTGCTTCCAATGGAGACCAGAAATATGGACTTGGCCAGGTAGTCTGAAAGTTCATTTAAACTGTTGAATTGTCTCTTCATATCTCTCCTGATAGTCTTTTGAAACAAATCGATCTGGTTATCCAAATTCAGGCATTTGCCCTGCACAGTGCACACACCCCCGGCCATTCGTTAATGACTTAATTCATTAATTACTCCGAACCATCGCCGGAAAAACATGCTAAGAAAGAGCTAACAGCTGTGTAGAACCGGAGACGGAGATAAACATGATTCCTTACAAATTGGGCTCCAGTCTCTGGGAGAATGCCGCATGATCCAGATGCGTAATTCCAGCCGGTTAATATATTATGTTTCAACAAGGATAAGTATGGAGGAGCATATGGTAGCCCAAGTAGTTCAGCTGGGGAAGAAGAATTAAGCGGCGTTGATGGAATTAAAGTAATTATAGTAAAAGAAAAAGAAAGCACTCTGGTTTTCAATATTTGAGGTGGAATTTCCAGCTTACCTACGAAATCTGCAACTGTTTTGCCATCGGTGAATCTCCCCGTGACACCGCCGGGGAAGTCTTTCCCATACGGCAGGAAATCCGCTTTGGCTATCGTGGGTAGTAGATTGTTATTGCCACTGTCCACCAGAGAGTCTCCAAACACGTACAACGCCGGTGCGAGAGGTGTTTCGGCTCTGGCTATCGGAAAAAGAAGAAAGAAAATACTGAAACCAGCTGGGACGACGAGAGAACAAATCCTCATCCTTGCTCCAGCAGATAAATTACTTGACAGGAGTGGGAGCTCCTTCCTGGTCGTCGAGCAAATAAATATGTACAGGTTTAGATTTCCTAGAGTTTAAAAGTGAAGAGCACTGAGTCGTCTCTGCCTGCAGTGTCGCAGACGCAGATCATCTAACAACACTTACGTACGATTATCAGCCATATTCAGATTTGTTTTCTAGTTAAACAAAAAATTGAGAAAGAATTTCTTTTCCTGTTAAACTTTAATTATATTCATTAGAAAAATCATGAACAAACTTAACAAAAGTATATGAGCACAAAGTCAGAGAGAAAGGATTCAACGTATTTCGATTTTGACTCGAGAAAAGTGAAAAATTACAGTAATGAAGTCCTCACTAAATGCTGCGCAGAGTAGTCTCTACTCAGAGTTACTACACCTTGATGCTCGTGCCAGACTGATCCGCTTCTCGAAAGTAATGGGAGCTTGGAACCATTGAGTTCGGCTTCGGCGTAGCCCGGGTCTTCCGGTCTAAACTAGAAGAATGGCACCATGATAGTTTCAAATTCTGCATAGCTAGTTCCGACTAAAAGTCTGAAACAACAGCCTACAGCCATCTCTACTACCCAACCCAACATTACAAAAAAATCCGAGCCCGAGAACCATCATGGTTAAGTGGATAAGTCCACTTGATAACTCAAATACTCAATCAATCAAGATAAATTTTGATTGATGCTTCTAAAAGAGGAAATGGGCAATGCACGGTAGCTCTGGTTGACGAGGTTATAGTATAGATACTATCGTTTCCCGAAAAAAAGTAGGTATCTTTAGGGAGCGAATTAGCTGGAGACAAAAACGTACACCCCCGGCTGAATTACATATCAACACGCCAGTGTTCAATATAGCTGCGTCCCAGATGGGGCTCAGAGTGAGCACTGATGTGTTCAACCCACGTACATAGTTCAGCCGGGTGTGTATGAATTTGTCTCCAGATCATTGAGACTGGTATCTTTGCGTGCGGTATTTATACATCATTTTTTAAGGTATATTTAATAGGGTTTGACTATGATATGGAAAAATACGGTATCAGAAAAATTTAGGGATTTTTGGACTGCAATCCCTCTCAGAAATCTTTTTTGCGGTCCTCTCCTAGTCTATTAGTAGCCCCCCAATAAACTATATCCTACCCTTGAATTTAGTATCAATGATCAATCTACGGGCAGGATTCGGTCCACCCTAGGAAATCCTAGCTCCACCTAGGGGTGGACTGAATCATAAAAACCCCAAAAGTTTATAACCAATGAAGGGCATAATAAAAATTGTTACTGATTATGGAATTTCATCAAAATTTACAAGGGTTTTGATGGTCAAAGTCTTTTTGGAAGTCTTTTTGGCATCATAAATTTTTCATATATATACTAGTAGGGACTTGTGCAATATATTGATTTTGTTAAGCGAAAGCTAAACAATAGAAATACATAAGAGTATATAATTGTTTTTATTTTAATATTTTTATAATTAATTGGATCAAACTCGATATGAGTTAGTCGGTTTTTTAGTATTTCCGATCGAATTTCGTTTAACAACTTTCCAATCTGACCAAGTTAGGTCAGTTTTGGTTTGGTCATTTGTAAACCGATCAAAATTGAATTGACCCGACCATAGATATATATTATTTTATATTTTAAATATAATTTTTAATATAGGAAAGTGGGAAAATTTCCATATTTCTTAATCTAAAATATTTTATATCATAAATTTAATTTTTAATAATTCCATTGTAATTTATTAGGTTTAAATCTTTTGAACAAACAAACTAAACAAAAAATAGACCCAAACTGATACAACACGAGTTGGTGGGTTTTCACTAATGGTCAATCGGTTTTTGGGTGACAAACTCACAACCCAACCAAGTCGATTTGGTTGGTGAAATAGTCTTGCAACCGAACTGAACCAATCTTTGAACACCTAATTTCAGCTAAATTAATAGTCTAATATCTTATAAATGGCAATAGTTTAATATTGAATAATTATTGAAAATTTTTACAAAAAATACATAATTATTGAAAATAAATTTATAATGAAAATACAATAAAAATTGAAAATATATTAAATTAGTCAATAAATAGTATAATATTAAATAATCATTTAATCTCTAATAAATATTAATCAATAAATTATTAAATTATAATAAATACATAATTACTAAAAATAAATTTATAATAGTTGTTTAATCTCTAATAATTATTGATAATTTTTTGTTAAATAGCAAAACAAAAATAGATTTATAAATAATTATTGAAAAAATATTCATCAAAAATACAATAAATAATTCCTAAAAGTACAATTAATATTAATTTTAGTATATATATATATATATAAACATATAATGAATATACACTATTATTGTGAAATTATTACTAATAAATATTAATTTTTTGAAAGTTATTTTCTATAATTATTAATTGATATAAGTGGAATTAGTTATTTACAATATTATTTATTTATTTAAATAATATTGTTATTTAGATTTTTAAAATATTAATTAATTATTGAATTTATTATTCCATAAAATTTTATTTAGTAGTATTATTACATAATTCTTTATTAATTTTGTAAAATTTTAAATTATTATTAATATGAATATTATGTAATCTTTTATAATTATTTTTCTAATTTTAAGAAAGTTTTTAAATTTATTACATAATTTTGTTATTTTAACTATTTAAAATTTAGTCATGCTAAATATTTCATTATTTAAATATTTAAATAATATGTAAAATATTTAAAATTTTTCATTATTTGAATTTTATTTATTTAATGTTATTAAGTAGTATTAGATATTTTGTTATATAATTATTTAACTATTTTTAATTTTATGTTATTTAAGATATTTAGATATTTAAATAATGTTTTATTTTTGAATGTTAAATATTTATTATTTGAACAACATTTAAATTGAATAATTCATAAAATTATAATTTATATTGTTACTACATAATTTCACGATGAATTTTGTAAAAATATAGAACTATTAATAATATGAATATTATTAAATCTATTATAATATATTTTTGTGTTTTTAATAAATATGTTAATGTTAGTATATAATTTCATTATAATATTTAAATAATTTTGAAAATTTTTAATTGAAACTTTCTTTAGATAGATGTAGAAAAAAAATGGAGGAGAGGATAAATAGGAATTAGAGATAGTTTTCCCTGTACTAAAATAGAAACAACTTAAGAGATAAATAGGGGTTAGAGATAATTTAGGAGATAAATAGGAATTAGAGATTTAATGGATAATTATGTGGAATTAAAAAAAGAAAATAAGAAAAGGGGTTTAGAGAAAGGAGAGGCATGGTGACATGGACCGTCTTGCTATATATATATATATACCTTAAGAAAACTATTTGAAGATACCCTGTGGTTTCAAAAATTACTTATATATGCATTCTAATCAAGCCCACATAACATAAACATGCCCTTTGATAATGAACCTTTAAGGGTTGTTAATAGCAAAGATTTCCTAATCCCTATTTTACCCATTGAGAACCATTAATAATGTTGTTCCGGAAACAACCAACACTTCTCCCACCCAATGGTGAAAGCCAGGAATTTTCTCTTGGAGGGGCCAAGTTAAACAAGAAAATAAGATGAGTATAAGAGGTAGGGTGTGTAGGGAAATGGGGTGAGAAGGTTTGGGTGATTTCTTTTAAGAAAAAATGAACAAAAAATTTTAATTTTGGGAATTGGAGGAGCATTAGAGAGTGATTTTAAGGACCCACTTTATTACATTTTTTACCTTCCCTCTACTTAGTAACTATATAAATATTAGTTTAACAAAAAGTTTGGGGGGCCAAGGAACCCCCACCACTATATACTTGGCTCCCTCGTAGGGGGCGCCCCACAACGTCCAGCAGCACATCCCCGCTCGGCTGTGTATTAAAAACATTTCCCAATGATAAGTGCCAGAAATGATGAGCTGTGGGACGTTGTGGGGCGCCCCCTTGTGGGGATTGATTTCAGTTCACCCATCATGGTCATTCTTACTAGTGAATCTATTTTTTATTTATTTTAAAACCTACCTAAAACTTTATTATTCAGGGTGGGGTTTGGAGACAAGGTTGGGATGGACAAATAACATCCCTGCCCCATCCCCAATCCATAAGAGTTTCAGGTTACTCCGAAACCCACCCTGAACCCGATCAATGGGTGAAATTGCCATTTTTGAGAAAAACCTCTCATTTCATGATAAGCATTTGCCTAACGTGTACGGATCTTCTGAATCGTGGAAATTGATGATCCTAATGCAGGGAAGACGGCCAGTTTGGGCATTACAGTAGGACCACACTGATTATTAAGAATCCTGTATCCTTAGACACCAACTTTTGCCTTACCAAATGATCACAAACGAAGGATATAAGCTTCCTTTTTTAAACCAGCGAAAACCAAAAATGAATGTAATATGGATCGGTGATGCAGTGAGATTGGGAGGAGTAAATTAAAGAGCCTTTGACAATCGAAAATGCCATTTCAATAAAAAGTGGGGATAAGTAGATAATGGTAGGAGCCCCCAACTCAAATTAGTCCCCACTTATTTATTCCCACGCACAGGTTAGGCTTGCAACAGCTGTTGAACGTTTGGAAGACATATGGTTGAACCATTGAAGCATTGTCTGATGATTACGGTGTTCACGGTCTGGCTTGGGTGGACGGGATCGAAGAAGTAGTGTGTTTGCGGGAGGAGGCACGCCGGTGACAAGGGAGGGCAGAGCAGAATTCCGTTGAGTGCCCCTGCACAACATGGCTCACTTACTTCTCTAATCCCGTATACTGCCGGCTTGTCATGTATATTGAGTGCTAATGAGTTCACTCTCATGTTAACGAACATCGACCCCGGCAGATTGGCACTCAACTCTTTTACCAATGCACCGACCTTCTGGTTGAAAATGTTGGCCCACTCATTTATGTCTTCAGTACACGAACCCGATGAACCTATAGGTTTCACGGTTTTGATCACCGCCGGGATGCATCCGAGGGGGCCGACCTCGCTTATTATAAACTTCCTAGCCCCCAATTCGTATAGCCTCTGCAAAGAGAAAAGAAAAACCCAAATCGGTAAGTAATTACAAATTAATGTGATCAGTTATGATCAATATGTGACGAGTCAAGATCGAGTGAGCTAGATTATTTTAATTCTTGGCTTGCCTGCAAATGTTCTGAGAGTGTAACTTTGAGTTTCTCAGAAAAGGCTTCGGGAGTAACTTTTGGTACTGAGATACCATTGCGTGTATATTGAGAAGAAAAATTGAGTATAAAGTCATTGCTGCCTGCACTGATCATGAAAATAGACTTGGACAAGTATTGGGAAAGCTGTTGCACGTTACTGAATTGCTTTGGCAAGTAATTCTTCACAGTATCCTGGAAAAGCTCCATCTGTTTATCCAACTCCAAGTTATCCCCCTGCAATTAATTAATGCACAAGAAATGTCTAGCTTTGAGATTCACTTAACAACTTTTCCACCCTCCAAATGGAAATGAAATTCCAGCTTATTATATTAGTACTAGTACAAATTAACTAATCGATCGCGAGTGTAGTTAGAGTTGTTACCATAATCTTTCCCGTACCGGCAAGGATGCCAGATGACCCAGATGCATAATTCATACCAGTTTTGGTTGCCATCTTTTGATCTTCCGAAAGACTCAGATATGCAGGGGGGAATGGTAGCCCAAGGTATTCAGCTGAAAGGAATTAAAAACATGTACAAGACAATCAAAGTGATTAAACATTAGTGTCCTATAAATTAACCAACGAGTTTTGGCTTTATTTGGGGTGGATCTGAGCCACCCCTAACATTGAATAATGCTTCTCAACTAATTGGAGTATTACTTATAAAGCTTTTCTCCATCAGTCCACAGTCATAATCTTATGTGCAACTTAATTAAATAATTAATAAGAATAAGAATAATAATCTCACCTAAGATATCTGCAGAGGTTTTGCCATTGGTGAATCGGCCAGTGGGTCCATTAGGGAAATTAATACCATAGGGTAGAAAATTGGCTTTGGCAGAAGTAGGCAGATAATTGTTGTTGCCAGCATCCAGAAGGGAGTCTCCGAAAGCGTACAAAGCAGGTGCGAGCGGTTTCTGGGATTTAGCTGTAGGGAAAATGTGAAGGAGAAGGCAGAAGAAGAAGACGGGAACATAACTGTTTGTCTTCATCCTTTTGCCTCTCTCCTTATTATTTTAGGGGACTAATCTGAGAGGGGGTCCTACAAACAAGAAAAGGGCTTTGGGGGGGTTTAAATAAGGTCCTTTGTTGGACCCACGATTCAATCACTACGCCCGATAATAGTTCTTAGTTAGTTTGATAGTTTTAGTTTGTTAGATAATGAATGGCCATTAAATAATTCCAGATCGCAGAAATGGCATTCCGTTGGCTGCACATCGGCAATTAATTACACCATTTCCATGCATCACACCAATTTAGGCCGAGAAGTATAAATGCAAATATGTAAGTGAAAAACCTTATATTTTGTATGTATTTATGTTGTACATATTTGCATTTGTACTGCTTTTAAACTGAGCCTTCATAAAAATGTTTTGAATTCCTGCCATGTGGTCAGGATCCAGACTCATGCAGAGTCTGGATCACCTGTCAAAAAATATTCAATACATGCAGTGTTGGTACGTGATCCCAACTCTTGCATGCAATATTAATGAAATGCGATCACATCCAACTAACTGAGCATTGAGGGATTCTGGTCAATGTTAGTCTGCAATTCGTGATCAGATTTTTGATGCACCAAGGAGGAGAGAAGTGCATCTCCGACAGACAATTGATAATAATCTTGGAATCCCCCCTTCAAGAATTACAGAAGAAGCACCCAAATCAATCGCCAATCTAAGCAGAAAGAGCAGCTTGTGCTTCTATTTCCTCAGGAGTAGTAGTTCGTTCAACTTTCACAACTCTCCCAAAACAAAAATTACCAGTGTAATCTTTAATTACCACACCAATTCCCCCATGTGAGTGAGACAAGGCACCATTAAAATTGATCTTCACTACCCCAACAGGCATTTTATTAAAGGGGTTTTTGGAAGTTAATAACCACGGTGATCTCCCTAAATATTCCAATATTCCAATTAAAAGCTGCATGGGGATTGGATTGAATTAGATATAAGAAGATCAAAATTTGATTCCTTTATATATCTTGGTTCAAGTCCTCCAATCTTACCTGTAGAATTTGAAAATGACTTATTTAAAACTTGAATTTATGACTATTTTACTAATAATTACTACGATGTAAATTTTATATGATATTTAAGTATACACACATTTGAATGGAATAGAATTGGTTCATATTAGAACAGACAGGGATGGATCTTGGATTCAATTATAAACTGATCAAATTTGGATTGCCTTGACTACCACTGGATCAAACAAGCATGCATTGTTTGCAGCCCTACCCCAATTGTTTTTACTAGTATATATCATGTCTTTCGGGCATAATAGATGTACCATTTGACCTCAAATCTCCTACCCACAAACTGTTTTCTTATCTGTACCCACAAGAACTATCACTATTGGAAACATCTCCCCATGGGTTGTGGGTATGAACGTGGGAACATCTCCCCACCATCGACAATCATCTTTGCCACTCACTCCTGGATTTAGAGGCTGCAACTTGTGCTATGTTAACCCAATCCCAAACCCGAACCCAGCCTGTAAAGTTAGGATTGGGTTGTGTTGGAATGGACTAAAGTTCACTTTTGGTTGGGTTAGGATTGAAGCTTTGACCAACCTGAAGTGATTTGCATGCATATAAGTATTTATGGATATGTGTATTCAGTGTTCATGCATACATGTATACATATGCAATTATGCATTGATAAATGTATACATACATACTATAATAGGAGAAAGATTTGACCAATCAAAGCACCTTGTAAATTTTGATTAACACCACCTAATTAGTCACCTCTTTTTGGACATCAAATTTTAAGTTTGAAACAGTTTTTTTTTTTTTTTATAAAACATTAAAATTTAGGAAATAAATACATTTAACAAAAGAAAGCTCGGATTTCTATTGGGTTCCAGTTGAGGTCCCTTGGCATTTAAACACAACCATGGCTGACTGTAGGTTAGTCCAATCCCAACCTGACCCAATTCAAATCCAACTTGATTTTATATATATATATATATATATATATATATATGCAAATGCATTCATAAATGTATACATTCATAAATATATGATACTAGAAAATAATTGTGGATTGACCGTAAACGTAAACTTTTCTAAAACATAATATATTCTTTTACGCAACCTTTAAAATTTAGGAAATAAATACACAAGGAAGTAGAAAAATCGGATTTCTATTGGATTCCAGTTTTTAGGTCCCTTGGCGATTAAACAGAATCATTGCTGACTACAGGAATTTTCTACTAATATTTCAACAATCGATAGTCTTCTACAACCCTCCTCGTACAAGCAATAGGGTAGTGTATTCAAATTCAAAATACTCTTGTAATTTAGTTAGATCAACCACACTTGGTCAATTGTTCCCAACATTTTTGTATTTATAGATGATTGGATGCAATGAATTAGCCATTGCTTGTTAAAAAAAACTTATATATTAACCTAATGAAAAAAAGCAAATTACATCACATGAATCACTTGTCTGGTGGTGGAACCATCCGATTTATCTTTTAATATTTAAGAATTAAGATAACTAATTAATGGAATTGCCTAATAAAAATTTTGAATTAAAATTAGTTGGAACACATTGCAATGCATAGACCTAGTTACGCAAAATTAAAGTGGATCTAGAAAGAAACTTATGACATTTTTAATTGGGCCAAGTCAATTCAAATATTATATTTTTGAGTTATGCTTAGTTGTTCTGACCACAATTCAAATCAAAATCCTAGTAAAGTGGTTAATCTCATAAGTGTTTTCAAAATCAGACTAAAAAAACCGGGAATCAGTCCATTTTATTCCAAAATCGCTTTTTGGCCAAAATTAAACCATTGATTTGATCAATGAACCGCTGATCCAGATGGTCAAACTGTCGATCCGGACAATGATTTTTGGTCATTTTTTGTTTCTTTTTAATTTTTTTGTTAGAATAGACTGTCCGTTCAGACTAGATGGTTGGACTATTCGACTAGAAAACCGGTCCCCAGAATAGTTCCCTGTCCGGTCCGGTTTTAAAAATCTTAAATCTCATATAAAGATGTCAATGAGTCAAATTAAATGATAAATTCGACTCAACTCATCGATAGGATATGTATTCTCCTTGTTTTTATTCTCACCCACACCACTGGGGGACAAAAGAGAATGCTAGGGGACGGAAAGGGAAAGTTGTAGTAACCAAGGTTCAACATTTTGTCATGTAATACATATCCTATCGATGGATGACTGATACATTGGTATGCCAAATACCATGAGAGACATCAACCTCACAGTGCATCACAAATGTGCATTGAGAACATCTCTTGTATATAATATTATAATCCGTGGGAAGATGTTCCTAATACATGGCTGTGATGCGCTATGATGATGGTGTAAGGCGCTCTATGAGGAGCAGATCTGAACTCCTCTTGTCTAGACTCTAAATCTCCAGTCACATGACTAGGGACAGGTGTTATTTATCACTGGAATATTAGTAGTTGGGATTTCATACTCCTGCTGTACTCACAACACTTCCAACCATGCATTTTGGTTAACATTTTTCTATGAATAAAAACATACAAGTAGAGAGATATTCCCAAATGCATGGCTGCAAGTGCTGTAAGAACAGTGTGTGGGCTAATTTTGTGAGATGAAATTCAGATTGTATCTACACTGATCAAACTAGGAGTGGAGCCGAGAATTTTTTTATGAGAGGGACCAGAATCTAATTAGTAAATAAATATGAATGGACCCATAGGGGGGCAACCATTGGGAGAGAGGAAATTTGCATGAAAAGTTGTATTGCAGTGGAGATTTTTTTTTTTTTTTTTTGGGGGGGGGGGGGCATGGCACCCTTGGATGATCAAATGCTTACATCCAACCATGATAGGAGCTAAGTGATCTATAACTATTGGAATTCAGATCAGCTGAACGTGATAGTTGATCAACAGGTTGTGAAACTAACGGTAATCCTTCACAATAGTGATAAAATACATAGAATCCACACTGAGAAATTAAACTGCAATTGTGGGTTTCATGTATTTATTACGTGCGTGGAAAATTATCATTGGTTTGTGTTAAACTAATCCTTACAGAAAGGCCCAAAGATTATTTTCTTTTTTTTTTCCTGATAATTAAAGGAAAAAAGGGTGCATCAAGGAATTTGTAAATAGCTCTACTAAAAAGCATGTAAAAAAACAATTAGGCTGTATTTGGTTTGAAATACCTTTCTTTTCCTTTCCCTATCTTTTCTTTCAAACCAAATACGGCCTTAATAAAAAAAGGGAAGATCGCGAAGGATGAAAACGTGTACCCATGCAGCTGACCAGCGCATACATATAAGTGTTTGTTTAATCATCATAGGCGAACATCCCTAATGCTATTAGCAGAAAGTTAATTGAGGGGAAGTTCTTCAGAAATTCACAAAATTTCTTTATAACTTTCTCTCAAATTTCTGTATCTCTCTTATTTTCTTTTAAAGCAAACATGTCTAAAAAATTAATGAACCATATTGGTCAAAGAGGTAAAGCGTCAACTTCAACGTAAACAATTACACTTAAACATAAAGAATGAGGAAGTAGTGAAAAGAAGAATATGTAAAACGGAAACAATTATTAGAAAGATGATTTAAATTAAATAAATACAGCAATGGTTCAATCCCATATATAATGGTGTAGAAACAAGGTAAACGTATCGTATCGACAAAAGCGGGTTTTATTTTGCGACATAAGGTGAGGAATTGAGCTTAATTTCTTAAGATTGCCAGCAGATAGAGATAGACTGACCAACTTGTTGAATACATGTAGCCATTTTTGCTTGTCCCTGAAGTTGTCGTGCGCAATTTTGTACTCTCTGTATTGTTGTAACTTTGAACGTCAGCCCATGCCAGCATTGGGTAAGGAGAGAAAATCCAATCGATGTGATTCGGAGTTTTTATTTCCAAACAATCCCCAATAAGAGCTCTTTGAACTAGGTATAATTTGTATTTTGTAATACAGAAACATGAAAGATGGAATTTCTTTTTCTGTGCAGGCAAAGGGTAGGTCTCAACCCTCACGCACTCTTTGTCCTTGGAGTAGGAGTTAAGTTTGGAATTCACTCATAACATTTTCTTTGAGATGAACACTGCAACTAAAATTGCTGATCACTAAATTTTATCTTTCTCCAAAACTGACCCTAGTGTTCATGAAGAGTGTATAAACAACCCATACATAACCAGGTGATAGGGGTGCAACAAGTGGGATACTTGATTTGAATATTTGACACTGCATCGAGCCGGCTGGGCGGATCCCTTTCATATTTAAAACAAATTCCCAACCCGGGCCCGCCCAACTTAAACGTTAACCCTTAGCAGATAATAATAAATATGATTTATTACTTCTGATTGGGAATATCACTTACCCGTTTTAGAATTTTGTTTGTAGTAGATCCGGTCAAAGCATAAGGTGACAAATTCCTTTCTTTTATTTTAATTTTATTGCTCAAATAACATACAGAAGTTGGTACGTCAAATTTCACTTGCCAAAGAGATCTCTTAGTGAAAGCATCCTTCTAAATATATACTAAAGTGATGTTTAACTGTAACTAATGCATGTTGCCACCGCACATGACCACCCATCAGCTAGCTAGAATATTGATGGATCCTCTGAATTCAGGATTTGCTCCTTATAATACAGCATTTCTCACACCAACTTGTAACATCCTCTTATGATATACCAATTTTTGCAAGTAATAACAATATTTTCGGATCAACCTGTAAAGTACATAGGGGGAGGTGGGAGTGACCTTCGTCAGATCACAAGGAGTTCACATCTCCGCCCCACAGCATTTTTCGATGATGACATCATCGGTTCTGGTATCATTATCGGAAGATGTTTCTAATACACGTTTTGGATATATTAAAATACATATGTCAAAATAGCACATATGAATGATGAGTATGGTAGTACTTTTGCATTTTTGTGTGACATTTGATGGAATCTCTCTTACAAGAGGGTCTCTGACATTATTAGTAGAGTCAAAGGAGGTCTTAGATAATTCCCTTATTTTGAATTGAGGAAACGAAAATATATAAAAAAAGCATCCGTATATTTTATAGGGAAAATTTTCGATTAATACTTTGTACTTTGGGTCTAATGTCATTTTAGTCCTTGAACTTTAAAATGAGATAATTGATAATTTAGTATTTATCGTTAACTAACTATTAATCAGTCATTAAGTGGCATTTGAAAAAGACCCAAATGCCCTTTAAATGTTATTTAATTTTCTTTATACCATCTAAACGTTGACAAAAAATTAGCAGTCTCAAATCCTACTTGCCTTTTCCATTAAAGAAAGTTGGGGTCACTTTTGAGTAGGCATTCTGGTGATCCCAACTTTCTTGAATAGAAGAGGCAAGGATCTGAAATTGTTAACCTTTTGTAAATGTTTGGATGACTAATAAAAAAAATTAGATGACACTCAAAGGGCATTTGTGTCTTTTTCAAATGCCACTTAACTAATGGTTAACAGCAAATATTGGATTGTCACGTTTTTAAAAGTTTGAGTACTGAATTGTCACATTTTAAAGTTTGGGGACCAAAGTGGCACTAGACCCAAAATACAAAGAACTAATTGAGAATTTTCCCTTATTAGGAAAAATAAGTTTAAATTAAATTTGTGATAGGGGTAAGTTTATTTCTTTTCTCTTTAATATATATATATATATATATATATAAAATCAAAATTTTTCTTTTGCCACAACAGAGTTTACCAGGAAAAAAAACAAAAAGCTAGAACAAAATATATGAAATTGTTAGGGATATGATTTATCGTAGTTACATTATCCAAAGCCCAAATTAGCTGAGAATGTAGGCTCAGAGAGTTCTGGCCCAGCGCTTGTTGTCCAAGACTCTGGGTTGCAGAGCAACTCAGTTTCAGGGGTCTGTTGGCGTTCTACAAATTGTTTTCTCTCTCTCTCTCAATTCTTGTTTTAGTTGCGAGGTGTCTATCTGAAACATTATCTTAATACGTTCTTGCTTAAGAATCAAGGAGGTTATAGTAATGCATCCTGAAATTCGCGTTTTACCGACCAGCTTAGGACTTGTGTCGCTTTTGATCGCATCTAATATCAGAAAGCCATCGGCTATAAATGTCAACCAACCTTGGCATTGTCCCATTTCAAGAACAGTAATTGTAAGCTTTGTGTCTCAACACTCTCAAGCATGTCTAAACAAAATACAAGAAAACATGCTTCGCAGAGGAACGGCGGCCTCGAGAGGGAGAAACCGGCAGGCCAAAGCTTCTTATCCAAACATCTCAAGAAGGTTTACCCACTTGGGTTTCACAAGAGTGCTTCATCTCTATCACTCTCATCATTATCTCTGTCACAAAATTCCAATGATTCTTCTTTCAGCGATTCTATCTCTCGGGCTCGGTTGGATAGGAAGGTTTCATCGGTTCCTGTTCCGATAGTCACACCAATTTCTCTTCGCGGACTTGGACCTCCTGATAGAAAGGAAGTATCATCAGTTACTAATGTCGAACAGGAGATCCATGATTTCAGTGGTGGGGGCTTGAGGAGATGTAACTGGATTACAAAGAATAGTGGTAAGCTCCAAATTTTAATCGTCTAAGCTCATCATTCTTACCCTGAAGTTCAAACTTGAAGTTTCTTCTTGTCTAGCTATTTCTAAATTCTAAGACTATAAGCTATCCACTTAACATTGGCAGTTGAAAATTCTACAGCAACCTCTGAGCATTAGAATTTGCAACATCCGGTGTATTATCTAATCTAATCTAAATAAATGTTCTGTACATTTTACATAAACATTCTTTAGAACTAAGGCAAACTCAACAACCTTCCGTCAGATAGCAGTTGAGTCTGTAGCTTCAGTGTTTGTTGCTCTCTCTCTCTCTCTCTCTCCACCAAACTTAGTTTTTGGAGACAACGTTCACCAAAGAGGCTACAAGGGCGTTAGTTATTTGAAATTAAGAAATTGTCAACCTTTCTAGTTTCTACCAAGGGTTGTTTTGGGAATGCAAGAGCATAACATAATATATTAATCTAATTTGGCAATTAGAGTTGTTAGGATGATTTGAAAGCCCGGCCCATTATGGATCAAAATATTAGCTCTTTATATTTCAGTCGTTATCCGGCCCATTATTAGGTAGACTCTAAAAATGACATTTCAGCACTTCTGAATCAAATAGTATTTCTTTTTTTCTAAATAAGTGGGCTTACACATATTGGTTTGTCATTCCAAACAGATAAAGCCTATGTTGTGTTCCATGATGAGCAATGGGGAGTTCCGATTTACAATGACAAGTGAGTTCTTTAAGCTCTGTATTTAATCTTTTTTTATTATTTTTAATAGTTAATGGATAATAATTCACATTTAATTGTTCAATAATATTGGAACAGTCAACTGTTTGAGATGCTTGCATTGTCCGGGTTGTTGATGGATCACAATTGGTCTGAAATCGTGAAAAGAAAGGAACTATATAGGTGCATAATTTACTGCTTGTAATCTTCTATTGAAATAAATACTTTTACTTCAGATATTTTTTTCAATGGTTTGTTACTTTCGATGATATATATTACTCTTTTAACGTGGAATTTTGATTGATATAGAGAAGCTTTTGGTCAATTCAATCCTAGTTTTGTTGCCAAGCTGGGGGAGAAAGAGATCAGAGAGATAAGCTCCAACGAAGAGCTCGCATTAGCAGAGAGCAGGGTGAGGTGCATAATAGACAATTCCAAATGCATAATACAGGCAAGTTTTAGAACCCATGCTTTGGTTTTGTAATTTTTGTAAGGATTAAGTGCCCGTTTAAGAGGGCTTTTATGCAGCGTTTTCTGACGTTATAAAGTATGCTCCACCAAGGTTTAAAATTTTAATACGATTCATTCTGTATGAGGAAGAGTTCCGCAAGATAGGCTCAAAACACAAGGTGAATTTGGCCCATTTCAGGAAGTAGGCAAGCCTAAGTCCTACCCCCTGGCCCTAATTTATTTTTGAAAAAGAAAAAAAAAAAAACTTAAAAAAGGCCTAGAGTTAGGTGCAGAGTACTGATACATCTCTTCTAGAATATCAGGGGGTATTGATACTTTGAGCTATTTTTTGGTGAAAAACTGAGAAATCTTAAAAATGCTTACATTGAGCTGAAAAATTGACTTTCCGATGAAGATAATTTTGATAGTTTCTTTAAAGTGGTTCGGTCAATGCAGTTGAACCCTCCGAAACAGGCCCAAAGGGTCGAATACTAGTCCAGCTTTGGACAAAGCCACTGAATTTGGTCAAGAATAAACATCTCCCCTAAAATTCTCAACTCTAGACTTCAATCCATGAATGCTAAGGCCAAGAATATTTGTGTGACTTTTAAGAGACAAGTTAATTAACTTGTGCATTTATTTTGATTGTTTTGGTTGTGAAATGTAGATTGTGAAGGAATTTGGATCATTCAGCAGCTATATCTGGGCATACATGGATTACAAACCAATGATCAGCTATTACAGATACCCAAGAAATGTTCCCCTAAGAACACCAAAAGCAGAGGCCATTAGCAAGGATCTACTGAGAAGAGGGTTCCGTTTTGTGGGGCCTGTGATTGTGTATTCTTTTATGCAAGCCTCAGGGATGACCATCGATCATCTGGTGGATTGCTTTAGGTTTAGTGAATGTGTGAGCCTTGCAGAGAGACCTTTTAGGCATGGCTAGCTTCATTTTGTTGTTCAAAGTTCACACACACACAATAAAAAACAAAAAAAAGCAAAAATATTTATAAGTGTAGGGGGATTGAGTTTGTTTATGTTAAAAGTTATGGGTGAAATAGATTAACACAGCCTATTTGGTGCAGTCCAATAACTTTGTCGTAGAGAGTGGGATCCAAGGATTGCCAACCATTGTATTTAATTTGTTTCTTTATGCTTAATTAAAGAAAAATAGCATATTTAATATTTTGTTGAAAAAAATGAAAATCAGTATTTTCAACCCATTCTTGACCAGTCCAGTTGGGCCAATGATTTGTCACAATACTACCTCCAACGGTCCAACCTGCTAATTTACAAAAACCCTTTGATTCGATCAATGACTTGTTGACCCGTTCAGCCGGTTACTGGGCTTATATGCTAAGTGCTATACTGCTATTTGATTTTATTACCTGTTGATCTGGATGGTTAAACCGCTGGCCCATTTAGGTATAGGAAAAAACAGCTCAATAGTTCATCATCCGGGCCGGGTTATTAGAACTCTGACCCAGTAGTTGAGATGAATCAGATGACCACTCGACATTACTTCCACAGCACAAATGTGGGATTAATTCCACAGAACTCTCCCCGGTATGCCCGGTAGTCTTTTTATATGCATACTTCTTTATCTTCACCCTAGATCCCTATTACGCTGTGTTTGGTTTGAAGGAAAGTGTAGGAAAAAGAAAGAAAAGGTAAAAAAAATCTTTATAAACCTTGTATGAATTTTCCTTCCTTTCCCTACCTTTTCCTTCAAATCAAACATAACCTTAATTTCTACCTACTGTCTGATCAGAATATTGTAATTCCACACAAAAAAAAAAAGTCTAAATACAGACACTGGCGGCAAATACAAAATTGCATGTGATCAATGAATTAGATGCAATCTACTAATATTTTGGCTGATTTAGATTCAGGACATAATTGATACCAATTGAATTTGGGGTGGGATCCTAACTCTATGAATTGGCCAAAATTGGCGCTTTCTATTAGTGGATCCTATGTGATGCACCAAGAAAATCTGATATCCAATATGAGGATAGAAGTAGAGATTCATGCTACATCATTTTTGAACCATTTTATCAATTTCAATTACTTTGTGGAAGTTAAGAACCTTGTTACATGGCTTCAATCTCTTTTCTTTTTCCTTATCATGTGATCGAGTAAATAATAATAAGGGATAAATAGACTGCACTCCCCCCCAAAAATCTAAAATGACAGTCCCCTCTTAATCTACTAGTAACTCCCCTTATAAACTGCATCCTATTTATGAATTTGACATCAATTCACGATCAAGATTTGCCCCATCTGTACGGTGGAATTAAGATTTTTAGGGTGGACTGAACTAATAATAACAGGCATTCATTGTTCCCTTTGGGTGTTTAATTCAATGACAACATGCTTGGGCATTTCAAATATATCACAATCCTTGTGCTTCCCTCATTAGTTGGTGTTTAACCATGGATGGACGACAAGTGGACTACTTGATTTATCTTAGCTTAGATTTGGCGTAAGGTTGGAGTATTGGGTCTAAGCGTGTAGCCGGCGTCTAGTCAAATAATACCGGCACATCAATAATGTAGGGATTTCGTGTCCGTGATATTCGACTATTCGAAACTTAGGTCTTCTAAGCTCAGCTTTGGACTTTGTCAAGCCCATCAATAGCCCATGACGTGGATGAGAATGCTGACCTAGAAATTTTCCGCGTGGCAGGATTGGTTGAGGCCCGTTCTACGTGCATCCAAAACAAGCCCATCCATATACGCATTCTAAAATGAAAACCTTCCGAAAAGGCACATAGACATAGTGCTAATGACAATGTGGCTTGGATAAATTCAAAATACCGGAAGGGCGGACAATGCACGGTGATGATGTGGACTGCAAGACTGAACCCCTTGTTTGAGTTGGAGACTAACATTTACCTATTTACTGGAATTCAAACTTCGACCCTTGTTTAATAAAAAAAAGAACTTTAACCCCTGTGAAGCAATATCTGAATCCCTCCACGAGTGACAACTTAATTAGTAAATGATATTCAGTATCTGAGAGTCTGTTTGATTTACAGTTGGAATCGAAATTGAAATTAAAATTGTAATCTTTCGAATCGGACATGCCAAAAACATACGCCTAATAAATAAGGTTGTAGCCCTCTTTATTGGGTTTGTCTTCGAAAGTGGAGTAGTAGAGGCGCGGAACCATTTTTGTATAGAAAAACGAAAAACGAAAAACGAAAAACGAAAAACAAAAGCGGAATCGTTTAGGTGGATGTGTCCATGATATGGTGGTGTTCTTGTTTACCAAATACCAACTACGCCCCCCCCTTTAACATTCTCATTCCACTTTGGTAGGCTCGAATCAAATACCAACCGAATGTTTTGTTCGATAGATTTCCTACGTGGACTTCTTCGCGGTTCTGTTCTGCAGCCTTATGTTTCTTTAATCAAATCGAGCCCACCACCCTCCCGTTTAAGGGTCTTCTGTCTTCTTCTCCACCGAATGAGGATACTTTGTGTATTATCACCTCTTAAGGTTGGATTCCTTCATCTATCCTTACTGGTTTCGAGGAATACTGGCATGCTGCTGAAACGATCGCATTTTCATGGTTAGTTTCTTTTTTTTCCCCCTTATCTTTTACTCTGTTTTTTTTGAACTTTTAGATACTTTTGGCTTTCCTGGTCTTCATATATTTTGAGTTTTCAGAGAACCCATTTGAAATTACTGGTTAACATGTCGACCAGTGACTGAATTTGCAGTAGTAGATTTAAAGGGATGGACTGGGGCATTCGGGGTTTAATAGTTTGTCGAAATTTTGATGATTTTATTTGAACTCACAAGTGTTCCAAATTTCGAAACAAATGATTTCATTGTAGTTATCTCATCAAAAGGAGAACAAGAGTTCAATTCATATGTAGTCTTGATGCTTTCGTCGTGATTTTAAGTGCTTAAAGTTTAGCATTTTGCAAACAAGGCGGGTTGGTCTATTTGGATTCCCAATGATGTAATCTTTCTGGGGAATATAATCAATTTTGATGTTGTAATTTTTCAGCTCATTATGCTTTATTTGGACATTAGGATTAGCTTAGACGTAAATAAGCTATTTTTCATTTAGAAAAATGAAAATAATTCTTCGATCTAAATCTACGTTAGCATCCAAAACAAGGACAGGGAATAGCTGGGAAATTGAGAATCCCATTATGCTACTTTTCTTGTAGATAGAACAACTACAGAATTGGAAGTTCAATTTTTATCTTTAGTAGGACAAGGTAGCAGCCTTCCATATGTGTATATTTGGTTAGGAAGCAATTTTTTTCCTTATTTTTTGCATTTCTTATTTTCAGCCATCTAACAAGGATAGCTTGTCTTCTAGGATGTTGACATGCCCTAAGGATTCCATTTACTAGTATTTGATTATGTGCTATTTGTGTAATTTTGACGGCTTTAGTTTTGCCTCAATATGTTGGTATCCAATTTGTATCCTGAAATTTGTTTTCTTAGTAACATTTTTAATCTTGTCATAAGAGTCGTTTAACTATGTCATGTCTTCTGAGGTTCCCATGTCAGAAGTTAGAAATGGATATAGGAGTGCAGGAAATCCTCAGGCATATACAAAAAGAAGTGCCTGTATGCATGCACAGAACATATATTATTTTACTATGTATTTTTTTAATTAATTCCTTGTACAGATTAACATACTGTTAATCCTTTTAGCAATTTCAAGTTTGACTATCTGATCTTAATGGGATTGCCATGTCTACCACATAGCTCATTTTATTTTGGGTCTATAAACTGTATTAGTGGTTGGATAATGTTCATTGTTTTCTTTGAGGACAAGCTGGGTGAAGTTTCTTTCTGAAGCTTTCTTTTTCTGTTTTTTCCCCTCAGGGATGATCTATACTCATTTTCTATCAGAAATCTTTGTACTTCCTGTTTCCATCTTTTTATTCTTTCCTATTTTGGATGTACTTAGAGATAAAAGTAATGTCAATCTTGGTGTTCCTTTACATTTCTCATGTTACATTATGAGCCTTTTCTTCTCTCTGGGATCTATGACCTGAATTTCAAGTATATGAAAAGAGATAAGATCATAGATAGGTAATAATATCAGAATAAATGCACAGCCCATCGTGAGACATAAGTTGGTTGGTCCTGCCAAGAAAATCTCATGCTCCAAAATCTGTAGAATTAGATAATTGCAAGCATCCAATCTTTAGGCACCCTCTTACTGTTCAAGTAGAATCTTCTTAATTTTATTAAAGAACATAAAAACTGAATCAAGGGACTTGTAATTTTTATTTTTAAAATCAAGAAAATCTCTAAGATGGAGCCTTGAAAGGATGCATCACAGTTGTTATTATGCTGGTCATTTCCATTGTGTGTCACAGAGGAATCTATATTAAACCCTTATTTCGATCCAAGGAAAAAGAAAAGTGAACCTTTCCTGATGGTCACTGTTATGGGCCCGGGAATAGGATCTCGTCACGGGTCGGTCCACGGGGAAAACCACCTGTTTTCCCTTGTTCCTCCCTTTTCTTGATGAACCTATCTTGACGCCCTAATGGTGATTTGTCCAAGAGATCACCTAACTCTCCTTGCTCTCTCTTTCTTGACTGAAATTTTCGATGCCTTTATTGAATAAAATCAGCTCCTTAAATAGGAGATTACAAGAGATAAGAGCCCTACTTTTAGGAAGACTCCTTGCTAATTGGGAAAACTCCCTACTAATCTATCCTACTGAACTGATAAGATAAGATAAGATAAGACTGAACTGATAAGATAAGATAAGACTGAACTGTTAAGATAAGATAAGACTCCCTTAATCTATCCTACTGAACTGATAAGATAAGATAAGATAAGACTGAACTGATAAGATAAGATAAGACCCCCTTAATCTATCCTACTGAACTGATGAGATAAGATAAGACTCCCTAGTAATCCATACTACTGAACTGATAAGATAAGAACACTGAATAGATAAGACTCCTACTAATCCTTACTACTGAAAGCAGATAAGGCAAGAATACTGAATAGATAAGATAGGATGAGAACACTAAATTGCTGCTGCTGAGAACACTAAATTACTGCTGCTGCTACCGGCATCCACATCAGTCACCCATGGTTGTTCTTCACCAGGCAATCAAACCTAAACGATTTCCATTAAATTCATTATTTGTTTAAGCATGGTTTCACATCAGCCTTATTCTTTGTTGCATCTAGAGGTGTCAATTGGACCGGATTTGGTCTAACCTGATCCAGTCCAATATGAATCCAATTACAAATGGACCAGGTCCAGTCCAATCCGATGAATACTTTGGACCATTTTGGACCAGTCTAATTCAATGTTTGGACTGTCCAATCTGTTCAAATTAATTTTAATTTAGATTTATTCCAATCCAAACCTGGTCCATTGACACTTGTATTCTTATCTTCTGTCAGACCAGATATTGGTTCAATCTGACTCAATCCAATATAAATCCATTACGGATGGACCAGGTCCAATCCAATCCAATAAATACTTTTGGACCATTAAGTCTGGACAGGTCCAATTCAATATGTCTTATTGGTCCATCCAAATTCATTTTGACTTGGATGAGGTCCAACCCAAAGCCAGTCCGTGACAGCCCTAGTTGCATCTAGAAGAATGAGTCCATGTAAACTTATCTTTGATGAAGCAAACACCTTGAATACTATATAGGGTTCTAGGTTCTAGTTTATACTTCTGTGAAAGGATTTTCTTTAATTGAAAAAAAAAATTGTAATACAGAATGACCAGAAAATATTTGTGATATAGAATTTTAATCCTATATTTGTATCCCCTCTGCAAGTTTCTAGTTCCATTCACAATTTTGGATCTGCCTTGGAGAAGTTTTCATTATTTCGCTGTTGAAAATGATAAATCCATTCTGAAAGGATTCTTTCACCATTGAAAGTATTTAACAATTGCATGTTTCCTTCTGTTACTTAGTTGAATATTTCCATTCTGGAGGAAAAGAAACATCTCTGAGAAGGAACATAATACATGCACTTCCTATTTCTTGACATTAGCTGTCATTACTAACTTTTTCTTTGTGGAGATGTTGTGTAGGCTTACCTCATATTAATGTCTGTAATGTGATATGAATCCTAAGGTCATCTAAGTAGAAAGATGTTCTCACCTTCCAAATGTCAGAGCAGAGCAAAGAATGAGGCATCAAGTTAATTTGGTTATTATTGGTGTCTCGGTAGGTGTGGCTCTTGGCATCTTGATTGCATCTTGTGCGTTTATTGCTATAAGATGGTACAGAAGTAGATTTCATCTTCAACGATATGCCGATGAGAATAGTATAACAACTCTCCCTATTCGCACAAATGGCATAAATACAAGCATTGACTACAGTGCATCTCTCTCAAGTTCCATAACTACTAATGGGCTACAGCACCCAGCAAAAAATGTTCAGCAATCCTGGTGGAACCAACACAGCAAGGATCTGTTTGCTTCAGCATCTAGCATCCCAAGATACTCTTATAAGTGCGTCTTCCATATTAATTTCCATTGTTAATATATTAAATGAATTTATTAGTAATATATTAAAAGAAAGTTAGAATTGTTGCATCATTAATTCATTATGCATGCTTCTTTCTGCTTCCTCTTTATCCACTTATTTCTGTGCATATTAGAGACAGATAGGATGGACTGGCAAACACTCTATCATTTTGTTGCGGGCCCGGGAATAGGATCTCGTCACGGGCCCGGGAATACTATCTCGTCACGGATAGGATCTTGTTCCTTCCTGCTCGTGATGAACCTATCTTGGCACCTTCGGTGATTTGTCCAAGAGATCACCAACT